TTTCCAATCAATCACTAAGATATCTCACTAGGATATTTGTGATGTTTCCCATCAATAACAACTATAGGTTAATTAAGTTCTTAAATTTCCCCAAAAAAAAAGTATAACGTTAATTATCATGTCAACATTATAAAATATTAACCCAAAATTATGTCTTATTTCACATATATATATATATATATATATATATATGCGTCACCCACTTTAACAACTAGTTGCAACTTTAATGTGAGTTATATCAGTTGGTTAGAACAGTGTGTCCACATTGTTGACTTAAGCTTGTGCTCTTCCAAGTTTTAATCTCTCTTTCTTTGAATTAGAATAGTTTAAAATATCACTTTGTAATAATAATAAAATAAAAATAAAAAAAACACTAACTAATTGCAATTCATATTGCATTATTGGTTTTTGGTAGTAAAGTACTAAGAAGCATATGCAATGTAAATATTTCTCTTCTCTGTCACACTAGTAACCAACTGTGTGTGTATAGGATAAGATTGTTTAAGTGCCAAATAATTGCATGGCTCATATAATTGCATGGCTCATGTATGGCTACAACCTTTGGTCATTAATTTTTAATTTTTTTTCTTTCAAGTTTTATATAATATCTCCTGAATCTCCTTTCAAAGATTGATTCTAACTTTTATTTATTTATTTACTTTGTTTCTGTTTGGGGAGATGAAATCTGAAAGGGAATAAAGATACATTTTAAAATAAATTATAAATATTTTAATGTTGATAGTATCGTTTATTTATTTATTTATTTTAAAAACTCTAAATAGCAATCAACAACCATCGACAAAATGAAAGAGCTTGTTAAAACAATTGTATCTAAATTGCAAAATAAATTTAAACAAGCCAAATCACCAATAACAAAATTCATACAATAAAATTAGTACCTTTATTTTGAAGTAAGCTAATATTGGATTCCAATAGCAAATTCAGCAATTCATTAGATTATTCCAATGTACAATAATGAATTATACTATTGTAGGTGAGACTAACTTATATTAGAGAATTTTTCAGGCTTGTGTGTCGCATTGCCTATTTTATCAATGACCGATTTAGTTTTAGGGAAATTTTATTTAAACTCATATAACCTCTTTCTACACCCAACTTACTCTCTACACCCATATTATTTTTAATTAAACTGTCAATATCTCTTTAAACCCAAATGTACTATCTAAGCTACCCTTACAAACTCAATTCAATATGTGAACTTTACACCCATATAGAAAATAAACCCAAAATCAGTTGGAGACAACTCTGTTTTTAAAACTATTTTCATATTTGATTCTTAAATGTGCGAACTTGCTACTCCAATATTTCTCATGAGAAAAGTGCCCATGCAGGAAGGTGATGATCTTCTCTTTTTTCTCACTAGAGTCGAAAATATAGTCACATTGATATACGTTATTCTCATCTGTATATGACGGATGATATTCATTGTCATCAATGTCCCAACCTTCTTCTGTTTTAGTGCAATGGAAAAACTATATTTGCTTAATGCGTCAATAATATGGTATCTGTTGTGTTGTGGTTCAATGGTTTACATTGGAAATCATTGACAATTATGATTTTTGAATATATATCAAAGCAAAACTCGAGGACTTTATCAAAGCCGTATTTGCTGTATTTCAAGTTGTTAGAAGTAAGAACAATTTTGCTAATTATCATTATGTTCTGGATTTGGACTTCACTTTTCTGGAGATGAATCATTTCGCATTGGTTGATGGATGACACTGCTGCTTTCAAGAACTTCAAAAAGTACATTTCTTCACTTCAGTTGTTTATACCTTCTCTGTTTTTGTTATGTATATGTCAAGCTATTTACTAGTGTTTTAGCTTCATTATTTTTATGTTTCAGTTGGTGGCGGTATTGAATTCTCCCAATGCCTTTTGGAAGAGTTATGAGTCCTATAGAGTAATTTACTCACGGGCTAATAAAGACCTTCATTGCAAGCATTCTACTTTTAAACTCTTAAAAAAATAAAATCAAAAGAAAAAAAACCTTGCATAATTGGTTTATATCTTATTAGTTGGAGGATTTGAAATTTCAAAATCATCATATGTTGGTCAGAATGAACGTATGAAAAAGATTGAGTGATGATAAAGTTTGATTATTAAGTGTGGATTTATTGATAAATTTAAGTTTTACTTTTAATTTCATCTTGTACTTGATGGTAATTATTTAATAGGATAAAAAAGACAATTCACATTTAAAATTTAAGTTTGGTGTAGAGTGAAGTTATATGGGTTTAAATAAAATTTCCCGTGAATCCGAGATTATTTTGTTTTGCAAATGTATCAAATAAATTAACCATGTATGTATCAAATAAATCAATGGCCTCTTTACGTATCAGCATAAAAATATAGATACTTTGAAAGGAAAAATTCCCTTTTATCTATTACTATACATACAATAGGAGAAAGAAACTCTATTAATTTTAACACATTGGTATTGTCATGAATTTGTAATATTTCAATGAAATAAATGAGATGTTGTCTAAGGACTACGTAGCTAGTGCCACTACTGGAAAAAATAAATTGCGAGACGAACAAGAACCGTCTCCTAAAACCAACAGTAGTTGGTTGAAAATTTACCTGATGGAAGTTCGTAGGTCAAAATTTGTCGTGTCAACATTATCGTAAATATATTTTCCCAACGGCAACACAATTCCATTGGTTAAATTATATTTACCTGATGACAATTGCGACGACAATCTGGTGGGTAGACTTGCATTGACTGTTCTTTACCCGGCGAAATAATGTTTAATCGATGAAATTTTGGTGATCGTGTCAACATTGGTTTTAAATTTCAACAGTTTAAAGCGGCGAAGGCTGTTGTCAAATAGGTAACACAAGATTATTAATTTATGCTCTGCGTCCAATTTCGTCAGTTTAGTTTAAGTAAACCGACGAAATGATTCATCTTGTAAAAGTAATAAACTTTTAAAAAAATTAACATATTAATTAATCAAACATTACTAATGTTTGATTAATTAATTTTTTTATATTAACTTATTTAATATTAAAATAGTACACAATTATTTAATTAAAGTAATTGTCCTTCACAAATTAAAAAAATAAACAAGTAACCGTTTTTTGAAAAATATCCACAAAAAAAAATTAAAAATAGTGAAAAAATTCTCATAGCCACGTCCACTGCTCCCTCCGATTCTGAAATTCATTGGGCGGATTGTTTAGAGCTTATTGATGACTTTCTTGATCAACACAGTAGTCGCGTAGCTTGAACATCCACTCTTTGAAATGTGCCATCCGCAACCCATAAATTTAGTCAAACGTTTGCGGTTCACCATAACCAATATCGAACTCGGTGTGAAATAAAAAGAAAAACAAACAAACGTTAGTTATAAAAAACAATAAATTGCTAATTATATATATAAAAAATTAAACTTCATAAAAATAATATATGAAAAAATAAAACAATTACCGAGAGTTGTTCCATTAGGTCTTGCTTTACATTCCGGGGGATATGGTTCCATTTGTGGATAGTAATAGGGCATTGGGTACGAATGAGTGCACGTATGAGGGAGTCAACATAGCTCGAACTTGAGGACATGTTAGACGCCTATGTCCTTCGTCATAGTCAACTTTCACTCGTCCATTGACAAGAACAATGTGCCTAGACATCTATTTAAATAAATAAATAAATTAGACTTTTCAAAACCGCAATTTATAATATAACCAACAAATTAATTAAAATACAATAAAAATAAAATTACTATAACAAAACCCATCCCACTCCCCAACCCCGTCCCCCTCCCATTCCCGGCCGTGACCCTTCCCACCCACCCCGCCCCACTCTCCACCCAACTCCTCCCCTTCCCCTTGTCTTCTCACCTTCCCGGTTACCCTTCCCACCCAACTCCTCCCCCCAACTTCTCATTTCCCTGTGTCCCCTCACCTTCCCCGTCACCCTTCCCACCCACCCCTCCCTCTCTCCACCCAACTCCTCCCCTTCCCCGTGTCCCCTCCCATTCCCTGTCTCCCCTCCCTTTCCCATACCCATAACCATACCCATACCCATACCTATACCCATACCCATACATGACACACCCCGACCCAATAACACAAGTTATGAGGCTGTAACGTGTTGGCCGACACTAAATTGGCCATATGACCCCATCCGGAGATGACATCACAAGCCAACTTAATGACGAAACCAAACCCACTCGTCTCCACCAATGTTCTCCTTATTCTCGTTACGTCCTGAAGGGGTCGATAAAACAAAACGTGAGTGGACCAGTTTTATTACAGTTATAAAACCATCATTTAAAGATAATAACCCCTGTTTTCAAAACATACATGGCAAAAGCTATATAATAATACTATCGCAATAGTAAAATCTCATTCATTAATATCATCAAAAAACAATCAAGTCCAGTCCAGAAATCATACCTTCCGTCAATCGATCATGCTAGCATCCACTAAGATAAGTATAGCAAGCAAACAATATACTAGCATCAACTAGTTAATCTCAATACCCACTAGTACAAAAAATACTTTGGGTGACGTAGGTCCTTCGTGATAACAAAAATTTGCGTGACGAACCTTCGTCGCGCGCCAAGCCTGTGAAAGAAGGTTTTGCGTGACGAAGAAGTTACATGCGTCACGCAAAGTGTCTTTGCGTGACGTAGTACCATGCGTCACGCAAAGTGGGTTGGCGTGACCAAGGTTTGCGTCACGCAAAGTGGGTTGGCGTGACCAAGGTCTGCGTCACGCAAAGTGGGTTGGCGTGACCTAGGTGTGCGTCACGCAAAGTGGGTTTGCGTGACATAGGTGTGCGTCACTCAAAGACACTTTGCGTGACGCATACCTACGTCACGCAAACCTACTTTGCGTGACCTATGGAACTTTTTCGTCGCGCAAACTTTTTATGTTTTTATTTTTTTGACAAAAATATTTTTGATTTAATTTTTTAATAAATATTGTAATTCAATTCTAAACAATAAACAATAAACCAAGAAAAATTTAATTATAAACCATATGAAAATGTGCATACAAGATGTCTAAACAAAAAATGAAAAAACTACAACAAGTAGTCTTCTAGGTTTGAAAACTACTGGGTATCGGGTAGGTGAGGTGGCTGGGAGGTCGAAGGTGGAGTAAGATCAGGTGCTGGCAGCTGGATTTGGAGATCGGACACCGCTAAGGCCTGTACAATCATACTCATCTGGGCCCTCATCTGCTCACCATGGGCCTTTATCTGCTTGTTCTCAGCCCTCATCTGCTCGTACTCAGCTCTCATCTGCTCGTTCTCAGCCTTTATATGCTCGCTCTGGGCCCTCATCTGCTCACTATGGGCCTTTATCTGCTCGTCCTGGGCTGCAAGCTGACCTTTTAGGGTTGTCACTTCCTCCTTCAGGGTGTTGACCTCTCCTGTGGTCGATTTGGAAGAAGAGGCACCCGTCTCACGAACCCGCGCCTTCCCCATACCTCGAACAACCTTGCCATGACGACGATTGTACTTTTGATCCAGGACCTCAGTCATGATCTGAAAACCTACATCCTCTGGTAAAGTGACGTCCTCCATCGGGGTTTCCGGGGGAAGTTGCAATGTTGCTTCTTGGAGAACAGCATCGCCCTTTTCCACCATAGTAGCCTGTAATAATAAAGAAAAAAACATATAATGGTTAATAACAAAATATAAATAATATTTGAACGATTCATAAATATAAGAATAATAACAATTACATCTACTCTCATTGCCAGGTCGAACGTAAACGTCCTTGAACACGTCGATCTCTGGGAACTTAGAACCCTCCTAAAAAAAAAAAAAATTAGGAAAATTTTATTAATCAATAATAAAAAATAAATTGTATAAAATTTCAAAATTAATATACTTTTACCTGACGTCGTGTCTCAAGCCTATACGAAAAGGGCTTCGAACCGGAATGGTGGAGAAGTATCTTAGAGTCACGAGCTATCTTGCCAGCAACAGATTTCTTTTGTTAAACACACAATATACATGTTAGTGCGACTATTTGAAAGAAATTATTTTAAAAAGCTTAAAAAAATAACTAAAACTTTAATGAATTATTATTAAAATATTAAGTACATACCACAAATTTTGGGTCCGTAAAATGGTTGCAGAGCCATTCCCAATCCTCTGGCCGGTCCTCCAACTCGGATGGACAACCCTCTAGGCGAGCAACCTCTGGATCATTAAATTTCTTAAAATGCGCATGAAGATCGCTCTTCCAATTTTTGTACCGATATGCGAAGGTCTCGTCTAAGTAGGTGATGACCTCAGGGGATATGTCCTTAAAATCAAAATTGACCTACAAATAAAACAACAAAATAATAGTAAGAAATTTAATAATATTAAGATAATATACTTTGGTTTATAATATTTGTAAACATAATTAAAAAAATGATAAAAGGCCAAAAATTAATATACTAACCGACAACTTATCTCGCACCAGTATCTTCGTCTCCTGAGGAATTTCTGCCCAAGTCTCCCGCTGCATAGGACAACAATTCCGAATAACACAACCACAGCTAGTAGCGACGATGCTATGTTGCTGTGAGGTAGCCGCTCCACGATGTCGCGAGTCATATGCAATCTTGATCAAGGAGGCAGACAGACGTACATTCTGTGCCGTCTTCAGCATTCGATTAGGCCCCATGGTTTTTTTTTTAGCTATCCAAAAAAACTTAAATGGTGAAAATCCTAAGCTTAAATTTCTGTAGAAAATTTTGCAAAACCTCCCCTAATAGTATATCATTTCCCAAAACCTTAAAAAAGTAAAATAACAGTAATTCACAACTCGCAACAAATTTTCACAATCATAAAAATAATAGTTTTAAAATGAAAAAAAAATACAACGTAGTGAGAATTAGGAAAAAAAAACTACCTGGCTGGGAGCCCCCATCCTTAACTCTGGATGATGAGGAAGTGTGAACAGAAGGCTCCAAATCGCGGCGGTGCCGGTGAGGCCGCCGTGCACTGAGCGACTGAACCGACACTGATGACGTCGATGATACAGGCACCTGGGATGCCGTAACAGTAGCCTCAGTAAGGGGTGTAGGCTCCCCAATCAATGGAGCACTCATAGATGGAGCAGTAAATGCTGATAATGCGGGAGGCGCATTGGTCACATTCCTATGACGAGTGATCAACTACGACATCTATACACTTTTTGAAGAAAACATTCAACTCAACATCATTTGAAAGACAAACTTATCAGTAAGAAATTTAACAAAAGAATAGAAAACAAAAGGCGAAAGCATAAATCTTTTCTCGCTAAAAAGAAGGTAAAAGGCTTAAAAGCATGCCACACAAAATGCTGAAAGAATACCTTTCAGCTTTTATAATATTTGCTTAATGGAATATAGGATTTCAAGGTTCAACCACCAAGTTCTTGATGAGAAATACGTAACAAAAAGAAATTGTGCAAAGGTCTAATTAAACCAATGTCATAACAATGGAACGAAAAGTTTCACATGCCGAAACTGAAACACACACTACACTGCTACAACTTAGAAATTAAAATGCCAATTATCTAAAGTTAGTCAATTCTACTTCACATGGCATTGGACAATAACTCAATTTTTTCTGACTAATGACAAGTTCGCTTCTAAATGCAATTGGTTTTCTCAAATCATCTTAAACCCAAATGCTTAATGGCTATACAATCACAAATTATGATTCAAAATAATTGAAATTGTGCTAAATGGCTATACAATGGCTGTATAAGACAATAAGGTCTTAATCACATTGATCTAGTACAATCGAAAAGGCCTCCGTGCATGTTTTTCCAAATATACCCAGGTTACAGAAATACCTTGTTCAGCTGGTAATGAACTTTGATTCCCTGTAGTATCCTTTTGGAGATGTTCCACCATACCCAGGTCACCGATAAGATTCCCAGAGGGAACACACTCTTTCCAACCCCAAGTGTAAACTTCACCAGTCTCTGTAGAATGTAGATTGACCAATAATCCCAATTAGTTCACATTCTGGTCCTGTAGAAATTCATTACAAATAAATTGTTTATGTATGAAAAAGACATGAAGCCCGTGTTTATTCATCCAGAATTCACTACAACCACAAATTAAAAACATGAAGCTCGTGTTTATTCATCCAGAAAGCACAGGAAAAACAAATTAAAAATACCAAATTTCCACTTTTAAATCTTCTTTTTTTCCTATGATGTCAAATAACAACAATGATTCAAATAACAATAATCATTACTAAAAAATTCGATTCATAATTCGATTGAAATAACAATAAACATTTGAGCACAAATTCAATTCAATAAGGCAGGGGACTAAACAGGGGTGTGCGGGTGGTGGTAAATGGGGACAAGTCGTTCCCCCTTAAATAAATTTGTTTTTCAATCACAAAACGAAACAACTCTGGGCTCTCTAGTTTTCTAAGTACTCAGAAATCAACATGCAATTTCACCCTAATCCCTAAATAACAAAAACCCATCGCAAATCACAAACCCTTACCTTGATTTTGGGACTTGATTCCCGTCGGCTTCGAGATTCGTGTGGCTACCCGTCGTTTAGAACGAGAAGGAAGAGAGAAGTCTATGGGAAAGAGAGAAGGAAGACAAGTCTGGGTTAAAGATTTGGGGATCAAGGTTGCGAAGAGGAGAGATGAGCAAGAGGGAAGAGATAGAGGAGACGCAGGACTTTACTCCTGCAATTTGATTTGCAATTTGAGCGAGAGGAAAGTCTGCAATTTAAGCAAGAGGAAGAGGAAAAGAGGTCTGCAATTTGAGGAAAAGAGGTCTACGGAAAGAAAAACCGAGAGGAAAAGAGGATAGGGTATATGGTTGCAAAACTTGGAAAAATTGAAAAAAAAACGCCTATTTTTCGCTATGGACCGCCAAAATTATCAATTGGCGTGACGTAGGTGTACAATTTGACGTCATGCAAAGTGGTTTTGCACGACGATTAAAGCGTCGCGCAAGGTTTTTTTTTTTTTTTTTAAGTATTAAAAAATTACCAAAAATGTGACTTTACTCCTTTCAAGTTCAATTTTTATTTCACATAAACCCCACAATAATATATTATTCTAAAAAAAACCCATAATAATTTTTTTTACATATATATCATTTAATTTCTTAAGTGTTATAAGTACAAAATAAATAAATTAAAATCTACTTAGTAAATACATATACCATTGCACTTGATGGGAAACACATTGTACGAAACTAGTTTCAACGATCCAACCGTCAAACTTGTTTGTATATGCTTCGATATCGCATACGCCAAAAATAGCAAAAAAAAAAACATTTAGAGATCAAGTAACGTGACAAAACTTTTCGACGGTTATAAATGAAAAATAACGATTTAACGGTAGTTTTAACTCCGATTTTGATGATTTTTTTACAGTTACACTCCTTGACCCTATATGAATCCAATGAACTAATTCGATCGTCAATTTAAAGTATTTACACAAGTGGATACCACAAAATCTTATGTTATACTTAATGAAAGTATTAATAAACTCTAAGTGTTAGTAAATCTACCATTTTGATGGGAAACACATTGTACGAAACTAGTTTCAACGATCCAACCGTCAAACTTGTTTGTATATGCTTCGAGATCGCATACGCCAAAAATAGCAAAAAAAAAAAACATTTAGAGATCAAGTAACGCGACAAAACTTTTCAACGGTTATAAATGAAAAATAACGATTTAACGGTAGTTTTAACTCCGATTTTGATGATTTTTTACTCAACCATTTGTTTGTTTTGTTTACTCAACCATTTGTTTGTTTTGTTTGCTTCACCAATGATGGATAAACTGAAAGGGAAGAGAAAAATTTATTAAATTCTCCAACTTTCTGTTTGGTTTTTACTAGATTTCTAGATTTCAGAATGTAGACAAGGATCTACGGCCCAAACCAAACAAGGGTCATCTCTTCACAAGGGTATAATGTTGTCGATGGAGGTTTATTTGTTCTTATTTTTACACTTGTTGCTTACCTAGTTTGTCTTTCAAACTTCCTTCTCATGTGACTATTAACTCATATGATGTCTTTGTTGTTTTGGATTCTTAAGTATTTTCTTTATGTACCTCTTCTCATGTTCTGAATTTATTTTTTGCAGAGGCCTGTGAGAACATCGTTCGAGCTGATTTTGGATGGTCTTCTGTTTTTTTTGGAATTTCATCTTACTGCTTGGCAGCTTCCACCACTGCTCTAGTTTTACAGACGAGAATAATTTACTCGGAATTTTTTTTTAAGACAGTCATGTTACATTTGAGAAATGTTATTCCAAATGCATCAGATTTTCATCGTTCTTCATCACATCAGCTATAAGTTGATTGCGAGAATGCTCAATTTGTTAAAATTGTACATTTACTTATGGGACTGATGTTTTAACAAACTGCTAAATGGAAAATAAGAACAGAAACAATGTAAAGAAAAATTCAATGTTTCACACTTCTGCTTCTCGTCGTCTGCCCCTAATGTATTTCGAGGTCCACCACATCCACAACACCCTGTAAGCTGTCGTAAACATCGACGATATGATAATTCCATCACTTTCGATACCAATGAGCTACCAAACCCAAGAAACTGGTGTACTAGTTTTGCAATAGAGCTGGCTAGACTGTCTGCTGCATTGTTTGTGAATGCCTCTGCATGTACGCATATAACATCTTCAGTAATATGCTTGAAAGTAACTTACAGCAGATGATTCAACTTCCTTCCATATTCCATGGACAGCCATATCCTTCAGAGGCTTAAGACCTTTCCGACATAACCCCGATAAGCACTATTTCTGAAAAAGTAAAAATTTGCCGATGAACTTTTCTAGATATTCAAAATAAGTCAAACAACGAAAGAAAACTAAGGAACTCTAAATTATTGGAATGTATAACGTGACAGAGTGATACAACATAAAGCTGAATTTGTTGTCACAATTGAGCCTGTGCAGTTTTATTCAGTTTGGTAAGTTATCAAGTAAAATCAAATCAAAACTTAAAAGTAAGAAAAATCCAACAAATCATATTACTGCAATACAAATTCACAACATTGACTAGAATGTACTATCATGATAAATTATAGAGCGTGGTCGTGCTGCAATTTAGAGCTTTCAAGATCTTCTTTAAGTCCATATCAACAACAAAGGAAAACAAATCATGTAGCACATGAATTCGTAGATTGGGCGGCACATAGAGAGAACTACGGAAAAGATACAAGATAATTCTTACCTGCAGAGAAGATGATTAGGTTGCCCTTCAATTCTGCAGCACCAATCAAAATATTCAACAAATTACCAACTGAAAAACATAAAAGAAAAAAAATCAACCACCAAAATTTCACATTCACTTGATTGGGATTCATTGCAACCAATCAAGACCCAACATAAATCACAGAGTAATGCCAATGGGAACAAAATTTAAAAAGGGAAAAGCTTTAGCTGGAACGGTACCGTTTGACTGTGAGTGGCCCGAGAAGTGAGAGTAACAAAGGGGACCCATGGTACATAGATCCTGCAAAAAAAAAACCCAACAGATGAAGAAAAAAATATGATAAAAAAGATTATAATTTCCAAATTTAAGCATAAAGTTTAGGAAAGTGAGTAAATTATAAATAAATTTAAAAAAAAAAAAAAAAACCTGCTTAGTGCCTCTTCCTCTTCGTGCTCTGCTCCTCCGTCTTCACGTCCATTTTTCTGACAGTTTTGCTGTGTATTTTGGGAGCGAGATCAGTTGCATAGTCATGTGTAATAATATTATCCATAGTTGGCATATGCATCTTTTGGTTTCTATAACAATTGAGATAAAAGCAGGCGTGAGCTTACTTCACATTTAAACTGAACTAATGCATCACCAGAAAAATCTTGATCTAAAAACTTTTTCACAGCTACTTCCTGTCATGCAAAAAGTCAACACAGGCCAATAAACAATTTGTAAATAATAGAACCCAATAGCAGCCATATTCCAGAATTATAATAATAACAAGTCTCATGCCATGAGCAACCAACATATTAAGCATTAACGTTTAGAAAAGTATCACAGTTCAAAGTACAGACATCTCAACGATTATTGACAAAATATCGATGTTTGAGAATCATACAAACACTTTGAGAGCTAGAGATACAAAGAAAATATGGGAAAGTATAAGATGAATAACCCTTACAGTGCCATTCCAATCTGCATGATATACCTCGCCATAGGAACCTACAAAACCAGAAATTATATTGAACCTATTTTTACAAAGTATTCCAAATTTAAGCAACAAAATTCTGAACCTGTGCTTACCAATGCCAATGCGTTCACCAATCTGAAGATCCTCCCATAGAATTTCCCACTCTGCAACTTCCCCTAGTGCGGGATACCTCTCATAGTGACTGATAAACCATCCAGCCCGCCAAGAGGAAATTCAAATATTTCCTCTGGCCAACAGAAGCCGCAACAAACGCAACAGCAGCCGCAACAAATGCCAGAATATTTAAAAGATGTTGATAAGTCCTAGCTGTGAACTTATCTGATTTTTGTAGTTTGGATTAATCCATTTATCACTTGTAATTATCACTTGTATTATCTGTTTATTATACAAGAGTTTGTTCTACATCAAACTCTCTTTTGTAATCTCTATATAAGGATGAATATACAGAAGGAAACGTATCCGAGTAATATTATACTCAATCTTTATTTTCTATCTTGGTATCATCCTCTTTCTGTCCAACGACTCAGACCTTTCTCCCATCTCAATGGCTTTACCCGCTGCACATCCCATCTCCCACCCCAATGTCACCACTTTTTTGACCATTAAATTAGACCGTACCAATTACCCTCTCTGGAGGGCCCAATTCCTTCCTCTCCTTCGTAGCCGTGGTCTACTTCCCTTTGTGGACGGCTCTACCGTTTGTCCACCTGCTTTTCTGTCCGATGCTGATGGCACATTGACTGATACGGTTAATCCGCTGTATGAGGCTTGGATACAGCAAGATCAACTGGTCCTTTCTTGGTTGGCGAGTTCCTTAACTCCTAACGTTCTCTCTGTTATTGTGAACAAAGTCTGCGCTGCTGATGCGTGGCGCACTCTTCAAGACCGGTATGCGTCTTCTTCGCATAACCGGGTTGTTCAGCTCCGTGGGGAGCTCATGAATCAGCGCCGTGGTGATCTTTCAGCAAGTTATCAAAATTGGCATAGCTCACTTCAGCAGCAGTTTGAGTGGACAGCTCATTGCCTGATAATAATTGGACCAAATAATTATGAATCCCATCATCTACAAGTTTCCCATCTGCATTCATTTGACCAAGCAACTTGTCTTCATGCAGATATTGAGGATTCATATCCGAAAATAAATCTGCAGGAGGTGATGCACCACTTTCCAACAAGACAGCATGTAGTTTTTGTGCAAACTCTGGGTTCTTTGCCGCACTGATGACATACTTTGATACATTTTTCACTTTCCTTTTCTGTGCAGATGTGGCTTTTTCAGTTGTACTCGATGAACTTTCACATGATTTACGAAGTGATCTAAGGGGAGTCCCCATATCACTGCTAGAACTCTCCATTTGGTTTTCGTCAACAACGATTCTTCTATCATCTTTTGTTTGAATGCCTGCATATGATGCTTCTTCTGACCGTGAGCTGCCAGCTCTAGAAACTATGTCAAGATCAGAAGGAACTGCTAACATTCCACTGCCCTCAGCTTGAGCCAAACACACATCTTTGGGCATTTCGGTGGCATCTTGAAAGCTCCTTATGGCAATGAAAGAATTCGGGAGCTGACTAGTAGGCACCTCAGCAGGAATTAGTGTTCCAGGTGCACCCATCAAATCAATAATATACTCACTGCACCGAGTAACAAACCCATTAATCATCATAAATCCAGGACATCTTACGGCCTGCACTAATTCACCTTAGCAAGATGAAAAATGTGCATGGGATTGTAGGAGCAAAGCAGCAAACAAGAGCATGCACCTCTAATTCTAACATCCATTACTTAAACATGATAGTAAATTCAAATCCAACAGCTTAAAAGTAGAGGTACATCCAAAATGAAAAGAACTGCAGAGATATCGCAATGACATATGAATTTATCTTTTCAACGGGGACCAAAAAAAAAAAAAACATAATTACTCTTAATCCAAGACTCCAAGAAACTTCATTAAGCAACATGTCTTGCAGAAATAACATCAGCTGTTTCAAGAGCTGTTCAAAAAGCAGAGAAAAATTGGTGTATGTTGAACTATATTTGTCATACTATAATTGGGTTCCTGTGTCTTAAGGGAACAACCAAGCACCTACAGTTTGTGGACAAACACATTGGGCATTGGGCAGCCCCAGAAAAACCATTCAGACACAAGGACACTGCTAACACGTGTTTGAACATGATTTTCATGTTTGATTCACATGCCAAGCAAGTCACATAAAAAAACAACCTAGATACTAGTAAATAGGTCTGGGCCTCTTGGTGTTAATAAATTTTGAACGATAAAAGAGTATTGCCTGCCTGTTCATTCAATGCTGATTCTGGAAATGGTTCAATAAATAGACATCTAACTACCTGTTATCACAAAGCACGGAGCCAAGACAACTTGAGTTTGTAAGAGAACACAAAATTCTCAGATGAATAAGCAGAAATGAAAGAATATAACTGAACCATCAAGGGAACCTACAATCAGAACATGTCGTAATCCAAGACTTGGATTCCAATCCTTTTTCAAGGTGTTGACACAAATCTCACCATTGTTTGGATGGAAAATCTTCGTCAGGAAGTAGCCTACAACAATCATTTTCCAGAAATTATAATCCAAATAGGGACTAAAAGAGTTCTACCATATATAGGCCTTTCATCAACAAAAACATCTTCAGTTGTCTACGATCACGCATTCCAAACAGAATGAGGGAACAGAAATATAACATGTCCACTTAAATGATAGTGTTATCAATTACATCATTTATGATCATAACAAACAAACCTTTAGGAGGAGGGTGTTGAAAGTCCCTGGACAATAACAACTTCATGCGGAAAACACCATTCTCATAAGGAGTGCCAGCTGCAAGGCCAAGATCGTAGCTCAGTAAATATCTCAAAAATATTCAAACGATAGGAGCGAAAGACTAAATTACAGCTTATGCCAAAAAATAAACATGCCTGGCCCTTCAATATCAGCATATATGATTGAAAATCATCATCGTTAATCCTAACTTGAATGCCTTCAGTTCCAAGAAGCACAAAAGCTAGATCAGAACGAATCAACTGATGTGACACAAAAGGAAGACAGAAGAAAAGTGCCAATGACGAAAAACATTGAATATGCCCAGTTCAATTGCACTATGGTTGGATTTTGAATCGCTCCCACATTGAAATGCATGCATTGCCACATCCCTCAACACAATATTGTACCTTTCGCGATAATACTATACTACTGAATTTCTACTTTGATCTTCTAGAGTGAACCTAAAACGCAAACATGGATGATAAGTTATGAACATTATGTTGCCATGGAACACTGTCATAACCCAATTTCATTTTGTTTTCATTTTTACTCTTTATGATGTATGATATTGCAAATTCAATCAAAATAGTTAAACGAAAGTAGATAATGAGCGTGAAAATTCCTGTTCTACATTTCAAGCGAATCAAGTGCGGTAACAACGTATATACATATAAACAAGATATAAGCATAAACGTAACGTAAAGATTATAAGACTCACATCAGCTTGCCAGGGGTTCCACCGAGACCCCTGTGATTGTATAAGACCTATCCTCAGGATGAGAAAGTGCTACCTTCACCCCCTTTAAGGCCTTTTTAACCTGTAAGTAACCGAATGCCAATCAGTTTCCAGGACAAATATCTTTAAAAGTAACCATTTGTGAACAAACTTAAGTAAATACATAGAACTCTGAATAATTTAGCCTATGTGGACATATACACCTGATCCAAATGAAGTGAATCCAAAATGAACAGGTCAATTCATAATAAAAGCAAATGACTACATGCTAAAACAAAATGCAGCTTCAAAACCGAATAAGCATGAATACTAGCATATTTGCATAAATAGAACCTATAACAAGTGTAAATAACTTCTACTTCATTGTTCAGACTGGTAAAAAATAATTACAAACTATCAACATTGTATTTTATTTATATAGCTTAACTTTTAGATAAGTTGCCTATCAAAACTGCTTGAAACAAATCGAAGTAAAAATGGAGAATACCTTCAAACGATCACGATCAGATTCTTCCCGTGCCTTTTTTTAGTTTGACTTTGCCTCTCCTCAATCTCCTGGTTTTTCCTTTACAAGTTTATATTAATCCTCATCTGAACTACAATAATAACTCTCGCTATCCTCACTACTATCATTTTCGGATTTCCATTCATCCTCATCTTCATTTGCCTCTTCCGGTGCATTGTATCGTGGCAGATCACCAAGGTCAATTGAAATTGACTCTATTGGTATTTCGAATTCGGGAACTCCAACTACTTCAAACGGTTCTTGGACAACATTAGTATCTCGGAGTGTTTCTTCACCAATTTTTATCAAAGATGATAACTGTTGGTCAGCGATGTTGTCGTCGTTGTCATCTTGATTTAGTTCCGGAATATCATATAGCCCTCTTCGATCAATCTTCTGAACAACTTTCCAACCATTGCCGGCTTTAGGGTCGTCTAGGAAGAATATTTGTTTCGCCATAGTTGCCAAAATGTATGGGCCTTCATCGTACCAACGTCTGGTAGTGTTTATTGATAGTAAACCATGGTCTCGCTTAACACTCGTTCAGTTATGTGGGTTTGTATCAATCCAAAGACACTTAAACAGTATCACTTGACACCTGTCTTTGTAAAGCAATTGTACTACACTAGTTAGTTTACCATAAAAATCAATGTCTTCACTGTCGCCCGCACCCGGGACGTGGACACCACTATTTTGAGTAGACGACTTGTCATCACGTGTTGCCCCCAAGAACTTGATCCCGTTGACATGACAACCTGAGAACAATTCAACGTGAAGCGGTCCTCTTGCCAAGTTATATAATTCTTCATCGTAAGAGGGTGAATTCAATTCCTTCAATTTGTTCATCTAATATAACATATACAAAAAGTTAACTTGTTAGTGTAACCAAATTTGAAGACAGGGATGAACAAGTTGGAAAATATGCTGAATTCAAAACACATACAACTTACATGTTCGTGAAACCATGAAGGAAACAATTCACGGTGCTTCTTGGCATATAAATGTGAAGGATGTTCCCGCTTCATCAACCGTTCATGCTCTTCAAGGTATGGCAAAACCTCATCACAATTGTTGAGTATGAACCAATGCGCTACCTCCATGTCTTTTTTGGTAAACGATTCGCCTTTTACAGGCTCGCCGAATGGTCGCGCAATTTGGGCAAAAATATATAGTTTCTCTTTTCTGACACCACCGTCATTATTGCGTTGAGGACGATTGAAAGCTGTCTCAACATCTTGAAGATACATTGCACAAAAAGTAAGTGACTCATATGCGACCCATGCCTCCACAAGTGATCCTTCGGGCTTTGCCCTATTTCGGACACACTTTTTCAACTCACCAAGATATCTACACAAATAAAAGGTATGCTACAAATTATTCAAAGCGTTCGTTGATCATTAATCTGTTATATATATATACGCTTAATTAAGTACCTTTCTATTGGATACATCCATCGGCAATTGACTGGTCCAGCAAGCAATGCCTCATCTGGCAAGTGAATCATCACGTGAATCATACTTGTAAAGAAAGCTGGAGGAAATATCTGTTCGAACTTGCATAAGACGTTCACAATGTCGTCCTGCAATTGTTTAACATCCGACTTCCGCAAACACCTTGCAGTCAATTGTGAAAAAAATCTAGACAACAACATGATTGGTTTCACCACATCAAGAGGCAATAAGTGTCGAATACCAACTGGTAGAAGGCGTTGGAGTATCACATGACAATCATGACTCTTCATGTTTGAAAATTTACACCCTCTCACGTTCACGCAACGCGAGATATTGGAAGCATACCCATCTGGAAACTTTACAGAAGAAATAAAGTTGAAAAACTCTTTCTTCCCATTCGGATTAACTGTAAAAAAAGGATGGCCTTTCTTCAATGTACCACCAACTTTGTTCATCCATAAGGATGGCCTAATGCCCATTTGTTCCAAATCAAGGCGAGCTTCAACCGTGTCTTTTGTTTTTCCTTCAATGTCTAGAATTGTCCCGACCAAAGTATCAAACACATTTTTCTCAATATGCATAACATTGAGGTTGTGTCTCAATTTTAACTTTGACCAATATGGGAGCTCAAATAACATACTCTTGTGTGTCCAGTTCAGATGTGTAGTTGGTCTGGGCTTACTGACCCCTTTGCCAAAATGACCAAATTCCAAACGGTTTAATTGATCCAAAATCTCATCTCCAGACCATTCTCTTGGTCTTGGTCGAGTCTCTTTTGTGCCGTGGAAGGCTTTATCGTTCTGACGCCACTCGTTGTCCCAAGGGAGCCATCTACGATGACCAAGATAACAAACTTTTCTCGCATGCCAAGACGATGTTACATTCTCCTTGCATATTGGACATGCCAAATAACCCTTAGTCATCCACCCAGAAACCATTGCATACACGGGAAAATTGTTTACTGTCCACATCACTGCTGCTCTCATGGTGAACATTTGCCCAGTATACTTATCATATGTACGAACACCGTTTTCCCATAAATCTTTTAGCTCATCTACCAACGGCCGCAAATAAACATCAATGGACTTTCCTGGATCTTCAGTAATTAATAGAGTTAACATCATGTATTCTTTTTTCATGCACTTCCAAGGCAGCAGATTATAAGGAAACACGACGACCGGCCAAGTGCTATGGATTTGGTTTAGAACCCCAAACGGATTAAATCTGCCGGTGGCAAGTCCTAATCTGACGTTTTGCGGGTCAGCTGCAAAATCAGGGTACATTCGATCGAATTCTTTCCATGCTTCTCCATCTGCAGGATGCCTCATAACATCGTCATTTACTCGTCCTTCTTTATGCCATCTCATATCGGTAGCGGTGTGCATCGACATGTACAATCGTTGCAACCTAGGCTTCAATGGAAGATAACGCATTACTTTTTATGGAATCTTGGTCTTTCTATTTTGTGATGTCATTTTAAACCTTGGCTCATTGCATACAGGGCATTTATCCAACTGTGTGTTCTCCTTATAGAACAATATACAATTATTTACACATGCATGAATTTTTTCATACCCCAATCCAAGACCCTTCAACACTTTTTGGGCACTTTTATGATTAGGTAAACAATTGTCCTTTGGAAGCATCCTCTTGATAACTCCTAAAAAGTAATCGAAACATTTGTTTGACAAACGAAACTTGATCTTGCCATGCATCAACTCCACAATTGCTGTGAGCATCGAAAAGTTTTCACACCCCGGATATAATTCTTGCTTGGCATTTTTCAGTAGTTTTTCATAGTTTTTGAATGCCTCACTATCCATGGTTGGACGACCGTCATCTCCCCCTTCTTGATTGGTGTTGGTTGTAGCATATGGATAAACATCATTTAGAATATCCATAACTTGTTCATTAGGATCCACATTACATTCAACAGTCTCCACTCGTGTCATGTATGAAGACGAAGCTTGGTCTAATCGTTCTCCATGATGATACCAAGTAGTATAGGTCTCCATCATCCCATTTCTTACTAAATGAAATCGAACATTTTCGAATGTTTCCCTCATTGAGTTGTTACACTTCCTACAGGGACATCGAATATGAGTTGAACCTCGGTTGTGTCTAGTTGCGAATTCAATGAAATCATTTATTCCATCCAAGTACTCGATAGCACATCTATTATGATTCTGTATCCACTGTTTGTCCATTTTGCCTGCAATCCCAATAAAAGTACAACTTCAACTATTGTCTTCTCACCTTATTCCTCCGGTAAGGGCCTATCCCATTCAAAAATACACAGTTATGTGCCGTAATTTACAATTCCAATGGATTAAATTTCGACATGGGCAAATTTCGACAGCATCTCCTTACAATTCTTCAAGTGCACGCAGTAGATACATAATATCCACTGTGTACTCGAAGAACATCAGGAAATGTTACCAAAATTTCCACTATCGAAACCTAATCTATGAACCGCAAACTACAACACATAACTATGCATTCCCAAACTGTCCAAAAAATGGGACAATTCAATAATTAATTGGACTGCAGGCATGCTTATGCATCCATGCACAAAATCCAACTAACTCTCAAACGGGAAACTAAGCTTATCTTGAAAAAAAAAAAGTGTACGAAGTTAAGTTGTATTAACTTCGTACAACACAAAACAATTTTGTAATTGATGTACAAAAATATGTGCATACAAATAAATTAAATCACAATAATTAGTGAAACTAAATAAAATAGATACAAAATATTAATCCTTGTAAACTATAATGTTGATGGCCTTAGTTTTTATTTGTTTATACTAATTATATCATAGAATATACATATTCTAGTTAGTTACACTCGAGTAATTTTGGTGGTGAGATAAATGTACTGTTAGAATATGAACACAAGTGTAAGCGTATTTTGGCTAGATATTGGTTTTAAAAAATCTTATTGAAAGATGTTTTGGTTGTCTTCAAGTTTACAATGGATTGAGACTAAAAATGAATCCTAAATTACTTACTTGTATTAAAATTGTGTCAAAATATGACACCATATAAAATTTCATATAATGGTCTTAGATAATCATATTATGTAAAAAATACAATCGCCACATATCCATGAAAATCAAGAAAATCAAAGACGAATATGGACATACCTTTCTCTCAGTGATCAACTTTAGCTTCTCCCAGAATTCACCTGTAATTACTCATCCATATAAGTGCAAAATATTTAACTTCTATATTAAACATACAAAACTGGTGGAATTTCTTTTTGGTTACTGATACATCCATGGAAGACGAATAAAGAGAGTGTATGTTAAAACATACCATGTTCGTCAAGTCCTTGCTTCTCCACTTCAATTTTATCTCCCTCATCCCATGCATCTTGCCATTCTTTATGCTGTTGAGAACATTCAAAAACGTCAACATCTTGTGTGTGAATGTGTGCATACTGTAAAACGGAAATATGTACAAACATTTCAGTATACCTCTTCATGCTGTGCTGACTTAGAAGTTGATTCTCTAGATTGTTCTGATTCAGCCTAAAATTATACAAAGTTGTCTAAGAATGGCTTGATGAATATATAATCAACAAAAAAACTCATAATGAATAGTAAAGGAATAGCCAGTTCAAAGGATTTAATAAGAGAATCATAGCCATTGTTTATCTACATAAGTATGGCATATGCTCACAAAAATCAACCCGCTCATTATTGAACTAAAACCTATTGTCTTAGCATTGAGAATTTAATAGTGATGATAAGATTAGCATTGAAGATCATGGCTTTTGTAGGTTTTCTATATAATTCTTAGTTGCAACACATTGCATTTACCCTCAATTCAACCGTATAGCACAAATTAAGGAAATTTCAAGGGGAAACCAACATTTCTTACAATTTCTTCTATGTAAATATATAAGTTAACCTCGATAATGTATTCAAATGAAGCCCAAACAAGTCTTCAACAATATATCTACAATCTCACTCCTTTTAATAGGTAAAATTAATAAAGATTACTTCAAAATTCAATCTCACAAAACTCCACCATTACCAAAAAAGGGCATAGCAAGTAAGCAAAGGTACATATACAAAAATCTCATATGCAATATGAAAAAAATACCTTCAAATTCGTTCTTCAATGATAATTGTATACAAAAATCCTGTACAAAACAAGTTTAGTAGTTTTAGTTTGAATTCTCAATTCAAAGTTACATATACAAAATCAAATTGCTTACCGGATACAAATAGATTAAGGAACGGAGAGAATTGGAGAACGTTTAGAAGAGAGATGGGGGAAGGAGGTAGTTGTTGCAACTAGTTTGCAGTTTCTACCACCCAAACTGACTAAGTAAAGGAAAAAAAAGTCGTTGACTTTGCGTGACGCATGTGGCGTCGTGCAAAACATCTTTGCGCGACGCAAGTGCACGTACGTTGCGCAAAGCTGTTTTGCGTGACGCCACATACGTCATGCAAAGATGTTTTGCGCGACGTAAGTGCACGTACGTCGCGCAAAGCTGTTTTGCGCGACTCATGTAGCCCTGCGTCACGCAAAGTCAACAAAAAAAGCGGTAAACTTTCTTTGTTTAGCGCCAAAATCTTGCGGGACGCACAAAACGTCGCGCAAATGGCCTTTGCGCGACGAAGATTTGCGTCGCGCAAAGTGCAGTCGCGCAAAGGCCATTTGCGCGACGTTTTTTGTTTAGTGTCACGCAAACATACTTTGCGCGACGCATTTAGCTGCGTCGCGCAAGTTTTCGTCGTACAAACATGTTTTTGTACTAGTGACCGGTAATAATAATCAATCCTTTAGCGTTTACTATGACAAATATCACTTGCAAATAAATCTATGACAGAAGATAGCTATATGAAATATCACATGATGACCATGTTGTGAAAATAGATCACTAAAGATCCAAAGATATTATCAAATATCATCACAAGTCTCGTCAAAAACTAAAATATTAATATGTATCCGCATATTAGGCATATATATATATATGTATGTATATATGTATATGTATATGTATATGTATATGTATGTGTATATGTATGTATAACGTACAAATGTTTTAGCTTTTCAAAGGGGTCACTCACAGATAAACAGAGCATCCCTCACAAATAGGCTCATTGTCTGTATCCTTCTGATCCTCTCAATATAAGCTAATACAAGTTTAAAACATCAACATATGGAACATTGTCCAAAACTACCATTTAGGCTTTGAATTTGCACAAACGGAGGGCACCACGAGATTTAGAACACCAAAAAACCTGGGGTTAGGTCTCGGGTCTGTCAAGTGCCGCCGTGCTCCGATCACACACCAACACGCGTCGCCTCGGTGCTGTCGTGCCGGAAAACACGTGCCACTGTGGGTGCGCTGTCGTACTCACTGCCGCAGTTTGGTGAGTAGACGTGACACTCATCGTTGCCGGTGCAACATGCCAGAGCAGTGAAGGTTTAAGACAGTTAATGGAATATACCTTTGCCGTTGGATGATTTTGTTAGAGTTAACGGAATCCTAGGTTCTGCCGTTAAACTTAATGTAGATCGTCACGGGCAGCCGTCCGCCGCCGGAGCCTCACTGGAAACTGCAAAAGTTGCACTGAGGGCTGTAGAGGGTGATTTCAGTCCCAAATCTCACGAATTTCTCATCAAAACTCACAGAAAACATCAATTAAAGGCTCAGGGACTTACTTTGAACAGATTTAAGAGGAGTGGGGGTCCAATCTACCTCGGACTCGACAGATTTCCCTTGAAAACCCTCGCCGGATTCTGGAAATAGGAAACACATTGCATGCATGTCAAACCTTAGCAAATTCGAACTAAAATTAACATGCAAGAAGGTATCTAAATACCTAAGATTGGTTCGAGTTTTTCTCGAGCTCCAGAAATCACAAACTTGCCGGAGTTTGCTCGGAGAAGATGATCGAAAACTGGGCAATTACACCGAGAGACATACAGAGGTTTATAGCACGAATAAACAGGTTTAAACCCCACCAAATTCAGTCCCAATCGAAAAATAAATGAAATAAGAACACTGCAGAACCCAAATCAACCTTGAACTCGACGACAGTCTTGCTAAAATTCAAAGCCGAGGCTGGGCATGCAGGTTCAGAGTATAATCGAGTTAAAGCACATGTTTTCAAGCTCAAAATTCGAAGAAACAAACAGTTTCAACACATTTATATTGAAGGAAGAGCAAGAATCTCACCTGAGATCAAGAGCTAGAGCTCGAAGCTCACGGGTTCCATGGCAGTTCACTGCCCATCGCTCTAATGATGCATGCAAAGGTACATACGGGTTCCTCTCGTCTCAGAGATGCTAAATATATGGTTTTCAAGTTCGATTGATGAAAGAGTGAAGGTGAGAGTATGGATAAGGCTCTCGGCTTAGAAAGAGAGAGAGAGTGTTCGAGACTTAGAGAGAGGCGTGTTTTCAGAAAATGGGAAGGGAGAGAGGCCGGAGTGGGCATAACCCCATTTAAATTTTTTTTTTCCGGTGAAATTACAAATTTGCCCCTAACTAATTGTTAATTTTACAATTAGGTCTCCTGAGGTCTCGATTCAAAATTCGGTATCAACGTTAAACTAACGTAAGAAAAATAAGATTACAAAACCTAAGAAAGTACAAGGATATAAATCTCGACTCGAGGCTCGATTAATTAAGGCACACACTCGAGGTAAAATAGTCATTTCACATATTTAGAGAATAAAATACAATATTTTAAGGTATGAATTGTAACAATACAAGTACGACAACAACAACAACAACAACAACAAAATAATCATATAGTAACAACACCAACAACAACAACAACAAAAAAAATTTTATAACAACAACAACGAAAACAACAACAATGTAAAAATAAATTTGATATACCTTTCTGAGAGGTGGAGAAAGACAGAGAGAAATGGGTGAGAGTGAACTTGAATGATTGACAGAAATGGAGGAGTCTTGGTTTAATATATGGGATAACTGGCTTTACCCAAAGGAAGTTCGTCGGGTAAACCTGCAAGTTTTAAACACGTGTTTAGCCGTTTCAACTTCCCCGACAGAAGTCCGTCGGTTAAGCCTATTCATTTTTAACACGTGTTTGGGCGGTTCAGTTTAAGATCGTCGGTTATGTCAAAATATTAAAAGCAGCCAACTCAAACATTTTGTCAGAAGAAAAAAACGTGGGAGAAAGATCCTAGCTGACGGAATGTTTCAGCTTTCGTCGAGTAAATCCAAAATTTGGAGGGACGTTTGATTTTCCTGAGAAAAAAATGAGGGGAGTTTTTAAATGTTTACCCAACGAACCAAAGAGTTTGAACGAGGAACAATATTAGGTTTGGTCGACGATAGGACCTTCCATCGGATAAAACATTTGAATTAGGATATCCAATTTTTGTAAATTAAGATAATCAATTTTCAAGATTAGGGGTAACGGAAGTGTTTTTCAACCCTCAAATAGCATAATTTGTAAAAATAACTTAAATCATGAGTAATATAGCCGTTCAATCGTGATGCTAAGTTCGTAACCGTCCAACATTTTCAACCGATCCCTAGTCCATCCAAGTGTATTTGTCATGATTGTTGATGTATACGATCTCGTGCTATGTTCAAACAAGTTTGACGGTTGGATCGTCGAAAACATGTTTGCGGAGTTTGACTCCCGACAATGCAAGTGATTCAACCAACACTTAGTGTTTCCATCCATAACACTATTAGGTGAAACTATGATTGGGCCTGTTCACAACACTTAGTGATTCAACCAACACTTTGTGTTTCCATCCATAACACTTAGTGTTTCTAATCCCTATTGTAAGTATTTTTATTTCATGATTGGGGCCGTTCATTGTATTATTCTGGAGTCAGTTATTGTTTTGGTAAAAAATGGGAAGGTTTAGAGATAAAGTGACCGTTGAAAATTACATTTAAGTTTGTAACCGTTGAATAATTTTGTCATGTTATCTAACTTCAAAATATTTTTTGTGTAATTTTTGGTGTATACGATCTCATAGTTTATATGAATAATACTGACGGTTGGATTGTCAAAATAATTATATAGAGTCCAACAATCGTATATGGATTTGGATATGTGCAATAAGGCCATGAACTTAAAAGACGGAGCCTCCGTCGGGTAAACGTAAAATATGTGCCTGAAAAACACCTTAAACCCTAATTTATGCTTGGAAAAGACCTTAATAAATTACTCGACAAACTGTCTATCGTGTAATATATAGCGTAATGTTACTTAAGGGACGGAGATTCGTCGCATAAGAGTGCACATGAATTTCCAATTTTCATTTTATCCTTTGATTTTCCCTCGATAGGTAGAGTCTAAAGAGACACATCATCCCCAGTCAACTCAGATCCAAGTCATCAGTACAGTCAGCAATTACTTAGTGTAGAAGTTTTGTTTGTTATAACTGCATTGTAACTAATCATAATTTAAGGTTAATTAGTTACATAGTTAATATCGAATCTTTATTAGCTGACTTGTATAAATACCATCATGTAAAATCAGTTTTAATCAATGAGAAACATATTTCCAAATAGAGCCGTACCCAACACATTGTCACATACATTCTTCTCAATATGCATGAGATCCGTAATGTGTCTAATTTTCAATTTTGACCAATATTCTAAGTCAAAGAATATACTTTTTTGGTCCAATTAAGATGTTCCATTGCTCTCGAACCTTCATCAAATTGGAGCGTATTCAACTTGGCGAATATTTCATCTCCAGATAATTCTCGTGGTCTAGTTCGATACTCTATTTTCCCATCAAAAGCTTATGGCTTCGCACACCACTCATGATTCCAGTGAAGCCACCTACGGTGATCCAAGTAGCATACCCTTTCATCGTGCCAAAAGAACGATGTGTCATCGCCGCATGTTGGGCATGCCATATACCCTTCAGTAATGAAGCCGGACAACATACCATAAGCAAAGAAATCATTAATTGTCCACATTACTGCAACTCACAAAGTGAACATTTCCCTTGTTGACTTGTCATACATTCGTACACCATTTTCCCATAATTTTATCAACTTATCTATCAATGGCTGCAAATATACATCAATGGAATCGCTCAGAGATTTTGGCCCTCGTATTAAAAGACCCATGATCGTAAATTCTTTCTTCATGCATCTCCAAGAGGGAAAATTATAAGAAAGAATGACCACCGGCCAATTGCTATGCTCAGTGAAAATTTTTCCAAACGAATTGAAATCGTAAAAAACAAGTCCTGGTCTTACATTCCTTGGCTTTACAACAAAATTAGGGTGGATTTTATCAAATTCTTTCCACGCATCACCGCCAGCTGAATGCCGCCACACTTCATCGTCAACCCGTTCCTCCTTATGCCACCTCATACCACATGCAGTATGGTTCGACATGTACATTCTCTGTAATCTTGGTGTGAGGGAAAAATAACGCACCTTATTTGGAATCTTGTTAATTTGATATTGAGGCTCATTTCACTTGGGAATTTGTCTAAATTCTCAAAGACGGTAGAAAAATATACAATTGTTCTTCCATGCATGGATCTTGTCATATCCTAAAACCGAGATCTTTCAAGATCTTTTTCGACCTAGAATGATTTAAAGGTGCATTTGGTTTTGGAAGCATATGTTTGAGAATATCCATCATCATATCGAAGTTTCAATTGGTAATAATACATTGGACTTTCATGTGCATCAACTCTACAACAGCTATGAGGACAGAAAAATATTCATAACCATGGTACAATTCTTGCTTAGCTTCCTTCAACAATTTATCGTACTTATCAAGGTCAGTGACAGCACCTCCTCTTCCATATTCAGTGCAACATTTGGAAAAGCATCCTTCAAAATGTCCATCACTTGGTCATCATCAACATGACCAGATATAGAAAGTTCATGAAAAATTATCCCACTACCGAGACGCAGGCATTGTAATGGGCGATTCCCCATGATAAGTCTAGTTGCTTTAATTGTGTATCATCCCATTCAAATACAAATGATATTGGGCTTCATCCATTATCATCCACACACAATTATTACATTTCACACATAGACGCCAAATACGGTTCTGAGCACTAACTTGGTTCCTTGCAAATTTAATAAAATCGTCAATCCCATTCATATATTGCACAAAACTTCGATTTTGTAAATTAATCCACTCCTTGTCCATCGCTCTTGTAGAAAATTTGTATGCCTTCTTGCAGTAATTACATCTCCATTGTTTTGTCTTACCCGATGTCTCAAAAATGACTTCACTTACTAATAGGGGTTTCACCCTTGCTTTAGCATTTTCGGGTAGTGAAGTTCGTTGCGGAGTCCGCCTTGATGATTGAGGTTGATTCGGTATATTCCTTGATTGTTCAATTTCTGTGCAATGATCTTCTTCATTCTCGTTGGATGAGAATGAGTTGATATCATGTTGGGGTATTTCTGGTTCCTCTATTCTTCTCTTGCCGAAAACCTCTAAACAACAATTGTGCATAAATTTATACTCATATTTGTTTATTAGGTTAAATGTATTTTGTAAGACATATACCCAAGGACCTTAACCATTCGATGCATGTACCATATTTATTTTCAATGCATTTATGCAGTCATGTTCTTTGTTTTTATTTTGATGCATGTACAAACCTTGTTTGTTTTTATTGCGATCCATGTACCCAACCATGTTCTTTGTTTTTATTTTGAGGCATGTACCAATCATGTTTGTTTTTATTGCGATTCATGTATCCAACCATGTTACAAATCATTCCTTACAAATAATTGCTTACAAATCATCAATGCTACAAAGTAAAAATGATTGCTCATAATAAGTAATACTATAAAATATAATTATAAAAGTATTATTATCAATATTTTTATACACAAACTAATGAATTTAAAAGGAATCGAACTGAAAACCGTACTATCTATGTGTGCTCTCTGGCGAATTATACCTTAAGTTCACTAACCGAATCGAACTGCGAACTCAAACCGTACTCTATATCTGGCAACTATGATTTAGATCATGGATTATTTATTTATTTATAGCATTCAAACTTTCTAAGATTTCAGTCTATATTTGGTGGTTTTGTGATTCATGGTTGTATTTCGATTTTTGAATTTTTCTTCTTTCTCTCTTTAATACTTTTCATGTGTATTCACTTGGGAAAATTAATTAAGTCTTAATGATTTTAATGCTGCAGGATATATTTTCTTCTGGAGTCATAAAATCTGCAACAATTTTCCAAGTATACAAGGAGATTGCTTGCCTTTCAGGGCTTGACCTTGCTTACAAAGACAACACTGCAGCATACAAAGGTTTTTTATTTCCCATTTCCCCCTTTTTTTTTATATACTGTTACCTTTATGTTTTTGTTCTCTTGACAAGTGCACAAAAAATGCAATATTTAATGAAAAGACGTATGAATAAGGTACATGTATAACAAAGGTGGGCATAATGG